CTCTTCTCTCTCTTTCTTTCTTTCTTTCTCTCTCTCTCTCTCTCTTCCTCTCTGTCTTTTCCCTCTTCCCCACTTGATTAATTCAAGGCATCTGGGGAAAAAACAAAACAAAGCACAGCGTGTTTCATTTCATGTATCTTTCCGTGCCTGGTCAGAGGCAGTGTGCGGGCAGAGCGATCCCGCAGCCTCACTTTCCGCTGGCCCCGCTGGGCGGGACAGCAGCGGGGCTGCCCTGGCGCCGTGGCTGCGGCTTCGGGAGGCGGCCGGGCGTGGCTGGGGGATCCTTGTGGCCGCTTGCCCAGAGGGGCCCGATCTGCCTCCAGGCAGGAGGGTCCTCCCCTCCAGTAAAGTGTCATTGCGGCAGTGAGGTCACGGCCCTGCTCCTCCTGGGGAGATCGGAGCGGTCTGGGGCGCGCTGGGGCTGCCCTGAGACGTCTGAAACTCTCACACAGCTCTTTTCCTGCCCTTCTCCCCCTCCCCTGTGTGTTTCAGGACATGGAGGCGTGAATCAGCTGGGGGGTGTTTTTGTGAACGGCCGCCCTCTCCCAGATGTTGTTCGTCAAAGGATCGTGGAGCTCGCCCACCAAGGGGTCCGGCCGTGTGACATCTCCCGGCAGCTCCGCGTCAGCCACGGCTGTGTCAGCAAAATACTTGGCAGGTAAAGGCCATGGAAAATCCTTCTCTGTCTGTCAAGAGAAAAGTGTCGGTGCCAATCCCAGAACGAGAGGCTGCAAACAAATGGAGACAGGCGACTGGTCCAGTGAGGGGAGCAACTTCCCAGGCAGTCGTGGTTTTATATGTCAGATAAGGAAAGAAATAGCCAATATCCGTAGGTCTTCTTAGCTCCTGTTACAGTTTCTTGAGGATTCTTTTAATGCAAAGTGCAGAATGCCGTGAGAATTTGCTGTATATGTAGTGTATGTCCTGCACTTGTCTGCTCTGAACAGGAAAGGAAATCTGGGAGTCATCTCAGCAAAATGTGAAAAAAGTAGAAGTTGTGGAAATTACTTGTTTTGCTTCCTGAGTAGAACTCTTTTTAAACAATATTATCGTTATATATTTCATCAGCATTGCGGCATGTACATTTATGCAAGCTATTCTGCAATCTCTTCCACTGTTTATAATTAAATGTCTTTTTCCAGCCTTCTACTGGATTAAGAGAGCCCAGAACACCATAAGTAACTAGTAACCATCTTGTAGATATGTTGGCTACTTTGGGAGTAGCTGTCTGTTCAGCCAGGAGCTGCTCCAAGCACTATGGCAACAAGATATTAAACCCAGAATTAATATTATTTCCTGATTGCCTTTTAAAATTTGGTGTAGATTCAGGTAAAAAAATTGCCATGCTTGCTTTTTCCCTTTTTGATTTCTCAGTCTTCTGTGGAAACCTAAACCTAATTTGTGTGAATTACCATTTTCAAATGGTTTTGAACTCCAGGTATTCTTACAGACTTGGGCAATTTACATTAAGTGGACTTTTTTTTTTACAAAGTGTTTATCATCTGGAAAAGTTAATTACTGACTTGTTTGCTAAGATTTTACAGTTAACGTCACTGTTTAGAATTTTAGTATTTTTATTTTAATTTTTTTTTTTTGCAATTCCTAACAAATGTGGTTTCCTGGACATAGCATAGCTGCAAAGATGATTAAGGCCTTTTTTTTTGTAGCATCACTGATCAATCAGTGGCCATATTAGTGTTCAGATTTGTCAGAGTCACAGGCCCCTGGTTTTGCAGTCCTTGTCGCTGTTTTCTGCACAACCATCTTACCTCTGCTTGCCCAGACTCATGAGCAGCAGCTCCACATCCCTGCTCAGTTTCAGAGCCGCACTGTGTAGGCTGCACTCGAGGCTCCTGCTGTCTCCCTCATGCCTTCCTCTCAGGGATATGCCTTCCCTGAAACCTACATGTGCTGCTGCTGCCGGAGTTTTGAGAACACAAATGCCTTGACTGGCGTAGAGAAGAAAACTTTCCATGGGCTTTATACTGCTCACCACGGGCTGTTTCACCTGGTTACGGCCCCACACGTGCAGCTAGCACAGGCTCCTGCTCCCTGCCTGGCTGGGGTGGTTTGGCTGGTGATGCTCAGTGTTGCACTGGAATTGTCACCAATTCCCATCAGGACTAAAAAACAGGTTGGAAACAGGCAATTTATTTACCCACCAGACAAAAGTGGGATGGTTTTATTTTAGCAGGTTAGGTCTGCTGTTAGATGTATTTGCACTACAGAGCTCAAAGTGAGGTTTCAGAGCTCTGTCATTAAAGTTGTCAGCAATAAATTGGATTTTCATAGCTCATTATTTTCCTAACTAATAATTACAGTGGGTAAAATGTCTCTGTAATTGCATCTCTGTGTGAATGTTTTCTTGTATGTGTGCACGTGTGCGAAAAACAGGAATCTTTATGATAAATCCTTGCATTAGGAATTTTATTTTCAGAATTTTTCAGTACTAGATGCAGCTTTAAAAAAACATTCAGAGGCAGGTAACAAGCTGTTTCAGGGCATGTGAAGCTCTTAACCCTCAGAGGAGGGTGCTGTGGTGGTGCCCACTCTACACCTGCCTTTGCAGCTCTCTGAAGCAGAAGGTCCTGACTGATGCACATGGAATGATGCTGGCTGCTGTCATCCTTGCCTTTAAAATGGAGATGGGAGTCAGGGATGCTGCAGCCATGCAGCCTGCAGGCTTGTGACTGCTCCCAGATTCGTTTCCAGGGTGGAGAGGAGGGGAATGTCCATGACAGTGCAGGGTTAAGAAGTGTCCCTATCGTCATGACCTCCCCCCGCATCCAGGGAGGTGGATCTGGGCCCAATCCTGCACCTCCCTTGCAGGGTGAACCTTCCTGTGGGCTTGCCTGTGCCTGGGTGGGCCTCGAGACCATGGGAGCCGGCAGGTGGGCAGAGGTTAAAGAGTTTGGGAGCAGAGGTGTTGCTGCTCTGAAGGCACCAGAGCTCATTCCCCAGTGAGCTCGTCACAGATGCAGTATTGCCATGGCAAGGGCCCTCTTTGCCTTTCCTTCCACGGTGATCAGCCATGGGAGAGCAGTGGCTAATCTGTACAGGCACAGCATCCTGCACAGTTGGGAGTGCTCCTCTTGGCCAGTCCTGGACTGCAGGGCACTGACCATGGGCACTGTTGCAAAAAAAAGCAGTAAGAAGTATTTGTGAACTCCATCATTTTGTGACTAGATCTGAGAAAACTGTGACTTGTTGTCTGGTAGCATTTGTAGTATTGTCTGGTTGTGTTCTACATCCTCCTCAAAGAAGTAGTGCCAGCAACCTCAACCTCAAGGTTCTCAGGCTGGAGGTGCAAGATTTTAGAAGGACCATTGTTTTGTCATGTCCTCATGGAGGTGCGAGAGGAACAAAATTTTTCCCCTCTGCCCTGAAGCTCACCAGCATTTAGGGGCAGCGGGAGGGTTAATCCATCTTTAACAGTCAACACTTGTCATTATTGGTATTGTATAAATGGCTTCTGGGGAATGGTAGGCCTGAGTCAACATTTCCAACAGAGTATCTGAGGACCTGTATGAACAATTTGGTGTCACTCTTTAAAGGAACTTTAGGCTCTGCACACACGGCTCTCCCAGAAACACTGCGGGCAGATAGCCTGGCAAAAATTTGATGAACATTGTTGCATGTTTCAGTGAGGAAGACTTCGGCTGTGCAGACAGTTTGTGCTCTGCTCAGGTTCAAAGATGGAGGAATTTTTTTTCTTTTTTTTGTATAATGGTTATGTCAGATAGTTGCAGGGAAAATATATTAATAAGAAGTCTCATCTTCCTGCTTGGGAGTTTTTTTCTGAGCTAGAAATGCAGGCACTGAGCAGTGGGAGATTGTGATTGAGCTGCTGCCAGCACAGCTCAGTGGGCACCTGGTTGAGAGGCTGACGGAGTTGGGGTCTGTTCTGTATGAAAGGGGAGTGCAGGATTAGGGCAGCTGAAGGTAGGCAGAGGGTTTATTTTTCATTTGTTCATGTGAAAATTCACAAGACACAAAAGAAGTTCAGGATTGTTGACTACAGAATGGAGGAATAGAGTCTCACTCTCGGTCTCCACTCCGGCCCTCAGCGTGTACGACGCGATTTCTGCGCTTACTGGAACGTGCAGTACTGTGTTGAAGGGGGAGACTTGCAGGCACCAGGGAACCCAGCTGCCGTGTGTTATGGCAAAGCTACCAGAAGCAGTTGATCTTGTGTGATTCAGTGTGAAGAAATTGGTCAGATTCATTTTGGTTTAGGGATCTCATTCTGCAGCTTTCCTGGGGGCATGGCATCAGCAGAGCTGCTGCTGGTGGTGAAGATGCTGCACCCGAGGAAGCGCAGGTCACAGAAATGATCCATGCTTTGGACCCCTCTGGAGCATGAGCAGCTTCCTTTCCCTCAGAATTTGTTATTGAAACTACTGAAAACATAATGATGAAAATAATACATTTTGAAAAATACAAACTATTAAAACCATAATATGCATATTAAAATCAAAAAAATGGAAAAAAAATATGCCGGTGTATTTATTCCAGAGGTGCGAATAAAATATAATACCTAGCCTTCATTTAACTTTGAATCATAACAAGCTGTAGACATTAATGACAGCATTTCTGTAAAAACAGTAATTTGCTACAAAAGAGTCCACTGCAAAAAGTGGTCTTCGGTGTGATTTGTTTCTATTATTGCCAGTACTGCTGATTAATAACACACATTTTCAGTTAATTTTGGATCTCAGCATGCCCTTTAATCTTGTGTTGTTTCTTTTGTCTTGCTATTACAGAAAAATATATATTGTATCCTGAGGCCCAATTCCAATTACTATAAGTTAATCTATTAGGTGATAAAGAACCACACAGGCAGAAAATGTGTATGTGAAAGTGAAGATGTATCTCAGGATTTGCTGGGGTTTGGTTACCTTGAAATGATGTTCTCTATAAATCTCAGAGCATGTTCTCTGTCTGTGTGTGATAACTGAAGCTTTGTTTTGGATGTTGTCCCAGGTATTATGAAACCGGGAGTATTAAGCCTGGAGTGATTGGAGGATCAAAACCAAAGGTCGCCACACCCAAAGTCGTTGAAAAAATTGCAGAGTACAAACGCCAAAATCCCACCATGTTTGCCTGGGAGATCAGGGACAGACTCCTTGCTGAGCGAGTGTGTGACAACGACACTGTGCCCAGTGTCAGTTCCATTAACAGGTAAAGCTCGGTGTAGTCCTGGGGTGGGATGCTCCGTGGAAGCACCATCACCATGTCTTTGTCTTTTAGAAGGACTGGATGTTTGGGGCTGTTTGTCAGAAAAGAAGTTTCACCTGTTTCCCTGGGGCACTTGGGCCTGGGGAGCAGCTGTGGGCTTACCTTGGTGGCTGAAGCAGCATGATAATGAGGGTTTCCTAGGAGTGGGCAGGTTCTTCTGCCAGCCTTTGCTTCTTTTCCACCCTTTCCCCTGTCTGTGAGTAGGAGAATTTTTCTGGGAATGACTCTATGTGTTTGCTTTGAACAGAGCCCCTGTTCTGCTCTGGGGGGTGGGGGTTCAGTGGGACATGCTTTGCCCCAGGGGGAAGCCCAGATGGCCATTAAGTAGGGTGGCAGTCATCTGGAAAAGAAAGGAACCCAAGGCATAGGTCTGAGATATTTCAACCATTTTGTTGCCTGACACTTGATTGGTGTTGCTGACATTGGCCCAGGCCTGTGTTCAGTGTGAATATCAATAGGGGAATTTGGTTGGTAGTGTCTGAGGGCCTCCACTGTCTGCTTTTTACATTGGGGAACTTATGTAGCCTTGAATTGCTTTTATAAAAATGCCAGGGAACCTCATTTGGAGGCTCAGTCCCGTGTTTGAGTGTTTTGCCATAGCTTTGCAAGTCAGGGCTGGGCTCATGGAAGACTGTGTTTGGGGTCTAAGCTACTGCCTTCTCCATTACACCTTCTGTGCCCATGGTTTCCTCCTGAGCCAAGTGACGTATAGGGCTGGAAAACCCACTCAAATACTACATGACATCTCCAGCCTTGCCAGACCAACAGAGAGAAGAGATGAATGCTTGAATAGCAGAGCTTTTGGGCACCCGTGGCCCTGGCAAGCAGGGTTTGTTAATTTTCACTCTGTTCCAGGCTTCCTTCTCACCACGCTGGTGAGATGATTTTCACTTGTGCAACTGCATGCAAATTCTTCAAATGCAGCTCGCTATAAAATGTCTCATTTGCGTCCAGACGTGAAATAAATTGATGCAATATTCTTTTATTGGCTATCCCAATCTGATTTGCATTCATGGAGTTGCCGCTTGAGTAGCCGGAGTGGCTTCCCCCACGTTAGCAGAGAGTGCAGTCTCTGCCTTGATGGACTAAATGTCGAGTCATATGTTTGTGCAATTAAAAGAAGGAATGGGTCAGTTCATCTGCAGCCTTTCCTGCTTGGGAGCTCCTGGCTTGGAAGCTCCAGAGCACCATGCAGTAACTCCATGGTATGGTGCCTTGAGTTTAAAGAGGGTTTGAGAAGTTTTAGACACCAGGAAAACCAAAGGAAAATATCAAATACCTTAGGAAAGTCTCTGCTTCCACTGATGTCAGCCAGTCATGTGAGAAGCATGGCTGTTAGGAGCAGTCCTCTGCTTGTGTAGCAGAACTTCACATGTCCTCCAAAAAACTACCAAAAAAGGCAGTCACAGCTCTAGGCAAAAGGGATATTTAAGTAGCTTCCAGTCATATTTTGAGCCAGTTTACATGTTCCTCTTGCTGCGTCCTTGTATGTTTCCACACTCATAATGCCCACACCCCCACTGCCCTTGTATCAGAAACCCAGTTCATGATCTGTCACCAAGGTTTTTTGCTGTACATTTAATTCTTTCTCATGTGCTTGTGATTCTGGCTAAGATCTTTTTTTCTCAAAGGTTTGCAATCCCTTTAAAGAAATGCATGCAATCTGTTTGAGTCAATCTGTTTACCCAGAGAATTGTTTTTGCCAGCTTAGGAGCTCATTGTGAAAACCCAGACTGAACAATCATATGACAAAGAACCTGGAATTCACATCAAAACACTTAGCTTTAATGCTAAATCCTACATTTCCAGCAGTCTGTGGGTTCTATCCTCATTTTTAACATTGAGTGTATACTTTGGGGTTTTTCTGGTGGGGAAGGATGCAGGCCTCTGACCACAATGTTCTTGCTCCCCACTGAGGTACAAATCAGGGGCTGCACCAGCTTGAGCCTCGATCTCGCTGAGTGGCTCCTCTCCTGCTGCAGTTACCATTTCTGCACAGGGGAGGACGGTGGCACCACTCTGTCCCTGTCCCTGTCCCTGTCCCTGTCCCTGTCCCTGTCCCTGTCCCTGTCCCTGTCCCTGTCCCTGTCTCCACAGTGCTGGGGGTGTTTGCTGGGGCTGTGCTGCTCCCTCCCAAGATGCTGATGCTGCTCCTGTGGAACATTGGGGTTTATGGGGATGGACTGTGCACAGCTTATTATCAGCTATGGAGGGGGCCTTCTAGCAGGCAAGTTTGAGCTGCTGCCTCCATGTAAGAGTGAATAATAATAATTATTAATTAATACCATTAATTTTAATAATAGGCCACTCTTCAATAGCAGAAGCAAGACTGTGTGATTAAGACTTAATTAATCATTGTGATTAGCTTTGCTCAAATCAGCTGAGAGCTGTCCAGCTGCTTTCAAGTGCTCCAGTCTCTGTTCTTCCAGAGATAAAGATGTTGATGTGTCAGAAGGCCCTGGACACCCTTTTTTCACCATGACAGCCTTGTGCAGTGGGCTGTTTCCACTCTTGACCATGCAGGGTCCTGTCTCTTCGGCTGTGCTCCCCCACCAAAGCTGCTGTCCCAGCTGCTCCTGCCTCTCACACTGGGGTGGCTGTTCCGGGGTCTGTTGCTGTAACCCATCTCCTGGTTGTGCCTGACACTCCTAAGCTTCACTCTGGGGCTGGCAGCTGAAAGACACAGCTTGTGGACAGACCAGACCGCTGCCAGCCTCCATCAGACTCCTCCAGGGAATGGGAGGGGAAGGGGATGGCAGCGAATCCTTGTCTGGGATGGAGTTGGGTGTCACCAGTGGTGGCCCCTGTGCCTGCCTATGGGGGCTTACCAGCAAGGAACTGCTGTGTGTTCCTGCAAGTTCACCCCCAAGCCCACTCCCCCTGACAGCTTCCCTCCTCTCCTTCAAATTCATGGCAGGCAGGAGTGGAAGGGGAGTTTGCCAGGCACAGAGAGGGGAAATGTTCACTCTGGCATTGCTGCTGTAACATAGTGCCTGGGCTGGGGGATGTGTGGTGAACCAAGGGTGTGCTTCCTTCCAGCCTGTTCCAATTCTGCTGCAGCCTGAGGCAGAACTGTGTGATCTCCAGAGGTATTTCTGACCCTATCTTTTGTTTTTTCATAGCACAAGGGCAGATGAGCAATGTGTGTAACATCTGCCCAGAATCTCCCTTCGTAGCAAGGTACCTTCTATCCTGCATCAGCACACATGCCTTCTGCTTTGTCTGTATCTCTGAATTTTTTCTCATTGACATCACTATCAATCAGAGCAGTAACTGCACGTACACAGTGATGGTAAATGTAGTCATTCAGCTTTTAAGATTAGCATTTCTTCCAACATTTTTTTTTTTAAAAATAAAAATTGGCTAAGCTGATCCTTTCCCAAGTTGTCCATGTGAGTGCCATACCTGGAATGCGCTAGGAACAGCCTTGCAAATGTGTCCCAGTACCCTAGAGTGCAGACCACGGCCTGCTGGAACCTCTGTGCTCAGAAGGTTCCAGCTCCCTGGGGAGACAGCGCTGGCCTGCTGGCTGCTCAGATAGTTATGGATGTCTCTTGTCGGGGCAGTGAGGACTGGCTCCTCGAAGCCACCAAAGGACCAAACTCTGAAGCATCCTGAGAACCATCCGGATGCAATCCTGTTCTGTGTGCTCTGGAATGACCTTGCTTGAGCAGGGAGCTTGGACAAGACAGCTCCTGTCAACTGTTGTCTCTTCCAACCTGAACCATTCTGTGACTCCGTGGCTCTGTGCAATGTCACCACAGTGACTCTAATGGCAGGGGCTGGGGGCACAAATGTGGCCCAGACTTTTCTTGTATTGATGTGGGTGTCCTGCACTGAAAAAATAGTGTCTAGTGCCTCCTGCCATTGCATGCCCAGTGCCAGCTAAGAGGTCATTTTTGTCCCTTACTCACAGGATCATCCGGACCAAGGTGCAGCAGCCACCCAATCAGCAGGTCCCGGCTTCCAGTCACAGCATAGGTAAGGAAAAGTTTTTTTAAAATACATTAAAAAAAATAATGGATTACAAGTATTCTGAAGAACTTTTAATCATTCTTATGGACAGATAATTCTGCATAAAACACTTCAGCACACGTGCTAATGTGCCTTCTTTGTCATTCTCCAAGGGCTGAACATAGTAAATGAATTTTATAAATACTGCTAAAAGGTTTTGAATTTTACTGATTATTATGATAAATAGCTTTCACCATGAGACAGAAAATTGAAATCTAAACCAAAAAAACCCCACTAATAGGGGTCTATAGAATGTCAGATAATTAAAGTAATAAATCAAGAAAGGGATACTTATTCATAACATTTTCTGCATCATTAGTCAGTAAGTAGTTTTGAATGTGTTTTTTCCATCTATCAACCATCCCTTCCATAGTTCTTTGTGCACTTGCAGTCTTGAGTGAAGAGGTAGCAAAACTTTCTGAAACTTTTAATTTAGCCACAGAACAGTGATGCTGCAACCTGAGGGAGGTAATGTTGGTGGAGGGTGACCCAGAGGAGACCCCCCAGGGTGCTGAGACACGCTCAACTCTTCTCCCAGCTGACAGTGTCTCTCTGAGGATGCTGGATGCTTCTGTGCTGCAATGCAGCAGGGGTGGAGGGGCTTAGTCTTTTTGTTCCTGTTCCATGACATCTGTCAGGGCACTGGTCAGCCCTTGCTTCACAGGAGGTAGTGGGGTGCCCTAGTTTCTCTCTGCCTTTTTACTGTCACTTGTGATATGGTGAAATTCTTGCTACTTCTCTCTTGGTGAGGCTGTGCTGGTACTGGGAGAAAGGGAGTGGAGGTGCAGAGCTGCCTGCACTTTTTCAGCTTGTCAGAGGAGTCATACTACAGTATGACTCTGTATCCTCAGCCTTTCTCTCCAGAAAATGCCAAAGCAATCTTGGGGAAACAACCTTTCTTTATCTCACTGTGGTGGCTTAAGTGCTGGCTCTTCTTGAAAAAGTCAAGAACATGAAGAAAAATCTTTTCTCAGGGCTTGGAGTCGATAGAGAAAGCAGGGATTTCTGACATGGGTTTGCTCCATGTGAGTCATGTCTGGGGGTCTTTGGTGCGGTCCCACAATATATCTGGAGGATACATCCTCCTGAGTGTATCAGGAGGATACCCCATCCTGTCCTTGGGGTCTGTGTGGTGATTTCTGGGATGTAGGGATGTGGCAGGACAGGCCCAGCCTGTAAGCTGGTGGAGGAGATAATAGTGCTCCCTTCTCTGCCTGCTTCCATAAAGCCTTGGACACCCATAAGGACATCATAAGGACATCATCATAAGGACAGTGTTTGCTGTGCAATCTGACACATCTAGACTGGTGTACGCTGTTGATGGGTGACTGTCCTTGCTGGACACAAACAGTACCCTTTTTGGAGGGCTCTTCCAAAGAAAAATGGATTTAGATCATATTTTGGATACCCTCATGTGGAAGCTCCTCTCTCTGCATGACTGTGTTCTCTGTCCACCTTGCTGGTGACACTGGTGACACTGGCTGCTGGGTCACAGGGGGCCTCTGCTGTCCCAAGCCATGAGCTTTTCCACTGAGCCTTGTGTGAGATGGGATTGTCTGACTGCTACAGAAAAGCATCTCCTGTCCCTCAGCATGCCGACCCAGCCCCTAGAGAGAGGGGCAAGGGCTGACCCTGCCTCTGCTCTCACCCCCTGCACTGGGCTGCTGTGGCATGCTGCTGGATTGGACTGGGCATGGCCAGGGGCTCTTCCTGAGCTGGAGGGGCCACGATGGCCAGCTGACCCCCAGCCCACCTCCTTCATGCCATGGGGCCAGTGGCTTTTGGGTAAGCTGGTGTATGTGCTGTCCTGCACCTGACTACCTGTCCTTGCCTTGCAGCCTCCACGGGATCAGTCACCCAGGTGTCCTCTGTAACCACTGACTCTGCTGGCTCGTCCTACTCCATCAGTGGGATCCTGGGAATCGCCTCCCCTGGCACGGAGAGCAACAAGCGCAAGCGGGATGAAGGTAGCAGGAGATGTTTCCTGGGAGGGGGAGTGTCTGGCTGCCCAGCCAGAGGGGTGGGTCAGGGCTGGGGCAGATGCTGTGTGTTTGTGATGTGATGGAGCTCGGGACATCCCCTCCAGAGCAGACTGGTTCTATTTCAGCAGGTCTTTGCCAAGGTCACAGACAAGCCAGTGACCCAGTGGCCAGGAGCAGGGTCTTGTCCAGGTGTTTCAGAAAGCTATGGCAGTGTGTCAGTTTTGATCTGCGCCTTCCTCCACACTGTGGACCTTTTCCCTCCTGCCAATGAGTGGGGGAAGAGACACAACTGTGTTGACTCTGTGGCCACCTGAAATAGGAAGTATCTGCAAAGTACAGAAAATTAACTGCAGAGACATCTGCTGTGCTGCTTCTCTCAGGACTTTCTTCACCAGGGATATTTGTTAGTCTTGGAGGGTGGAAGTAAGCAGTCTGGTTGTTGGGGTTGGATATTGTTACAGTGTTGGATATGCTCCTCAGATCCACAGGGTGTATGGTCCTGTTTTGTTCTACATCCTACCGAAAACAATGTTTTTGAGAGAAAGGCACCTGAGAGAGAGTGGAAGGCAAAAGAGGAGAAATGCTGTGTTGGTGTATTTTTAAAATACCTTTAGTTTAGAGCATTTTTTTTTGTTTTGGAAGAACCTACAGAGAGAAGCTGAAGCCATGGTTGTGGACACAAGTTGTGTAGCAGGGGGGACACTGGAACTGTAGTGGGGCTTTTTCAGTTGAAGACACAGAGGGCAGGTGGAGGAGGGGTGCCTGTCCTTCCTGCTGAATCAGCCTCTGCCTCTTGCTGAGGAGCATCCTTGTTCCTAAGCTCCTGCTGCTGATGCAAGTCCAGCAGGTCCAGATCCCTGCACTGCCCCGTGTCCCTTGCTGCCCAAACCCTCCTGGATGAAGGGGGTGGTGGGTGGGTAGGCTGAAGCTGTAGTGGCACCCCCCCACAATCTGCCCCACATCCCCTGGGGGAAACACAGCTAAAATCAGCAGCCTGATGCCTGAGCTGTATGAACAGGGTCATGTGCATTCTTTAGTCGAAACACATGATCAGGTTGCAGAATAAACCCAGATTTACCGAACTGGGAGAAAAGCTGCCAGAGGTTGGGAAGCCAATTTCAGCCACATGGGAAAAAAAATTGATGGTGGAAGTATAAAACTCCTTGTGCTCAGGCTCTTGCTAAATATACTGTTGTTACTTAACTCTGTGACTGTATACCTGATATTTTTCCAAATCTAGGTTATAAATGCATATTTAAATATATGCATTAAAGCAGATGGGATGGAAGTTCTGTATTTTATCAGCCAGATCAGGGGACAGGCTGTCTCTATTTACATTACGTGTCTCCTATGCCACAGAGCCATTTTTTGGGTGCCAGTGAGCAGACTTTGCTTTAACTGCAGAGAAAAGGATTAAGTGTTTCCTTGAAAAGCAAAAGCAGTTCCAGAAGTAGAGCTGAGAACCTTCTCAGCTTTTTCCAGTTCGCATTCAGAAATGAGCATGTGATTGCTAAAGCAACCCCCATCAGTTTGGCAGGATGAGTCATGGGGTTTGAGCTCCTAAGCTGGACAATAATGCTGTCCTCAGCAGGCTGTTTCAACTGCTTTTGTAACAGGCTCAGGGCTGCAGGTTTGGAGAGGCAGTCAGGTACTCCAATATCTTTGTCTGTTGGGGGGATTCCTAGGAGCATCCATAACACCCTCCCTATCCTGCTTACTACAAGGTCTGGATAGGTGTGGGTGGGTGCATTGTGCCCGTGCAGGTGTCCCAAGGCTCTGTATCTACTATATGTTCCTCTGATATAAAGAGGAGGAGCACGTCACCTAATTTTGGCCTGTATCGTGATGCACAAGCAGCAGAGCTGGTTTAACCATTTCCTGACTTTGGAGAGGCTCTCTCTGCAGAGAGACCCTTGCATTATATCCTTCTGCCTGTAGCTGCTGGAAGGTGAGTGCCTGCTGCACACATCTCCTGGGACCATTGCCTGTGCAGTGCTGTCCAGGTGTCCTGGTTGCCCTAGGCCTGGGGGTGAGGTGGGATGGACTTGCCTTCCAGCTGCACTGAGCACTTGATATAATTCATTAATCAATTTTGTTCTACTCACTCTTGACATTTTATTAGCAGATGTCTCAAGATGAGCTTGCTGGGTAGCAACAGGGGCAAACCAAATCAGACAGTCTTTATTGGTTTATATAGCTGAAGGTGTCATTTTTTCCCCTGTTGTAATATGGACTTGAAGCAGATGTGCCTTGGTGGGGGATCAGTTGCTTTCACTTTTGGTTAGAGAACATGCTACTGGAGACTGACATGAAGAGCAGGCTGTCCCATAATGAGGCAGAGAGACGCAGGCAGCTGCTGCAGCCTCCAGCAGTGGAGGATGCTGAGCAGCCACCTTGCTGTTCTGCTTGCAAATATACTCCTCAGGTGCAGTGGCAGCAAGTTTGTCCAGCCCTGCATCTCAGGGAAAGATTGTAGAGGTGCAGGTGGGCGACAGCAATGCAGAGTGACCATGATGGGGTGCCTGCTCTAAACGGGGTCTGTTTTAGGGCAGCAAGACCCCAGGTCAGAGCAAGTGGAATGCTCTAAATCTGACAGCCAGCATATGTGTAGGGGCTGGTTTCAGTGCACCAGCAACAGCTGACCGGGGGAGTAATGGTGATGTCATGATGGACACCTCACATATTTTGGGAAGTGTTGAGCATCTCCTCTCTGAAAGTCAAAGCTTTCTAAAGTGGGGTTAAACAATCCCTGTCGAGCACTAAGAAGAGGGCAAAGGACAATTTTGTATAAGAGACTGGGGTCAGACATGTTTTGGGGAAAAAGGAGGTTGCTGGGCCAGAAATGCTCTGGAGGATTCTCTGAGGATGATGGGGGAAGAAGGGCCAGTGCATGGCCAGGCAGAGCCCAACCCTGCTTCTCCCTTCACTCCTCTCTTTGCTAGCCCTTGTCTCCATCCTGCAGAGCTGTGCATATGTGGGCTTATGTCAGAAGGGCTTATGGCCAAGTGCAAGAGCAACAACTGCTGTGTTTGTGCCAGCTGAGCAAGCTGCAGGCTGAGGCATGGGATATGCTTCTCACCTGGATCTTGTGAGCTGGGCTGTCTCAATGGGAGAGTGACATCCCTCCACCCAAGGACCCCGGCATCTCAAAGAGCCCAGACCTGTGCTCTTTGGGAATCATGTTGTGCCTGCTGGTCCTTTCCAAGAGTGTTCACAGGGCAAGGGGAGTGTGTGGGGGGTGATGGTGGCACCTACATCCTGGGTGTAGCTCTTTTGCACCTTGTGCAGAGCCCTCTGCTTGCTGGTCTGTAGAGGGCTTGAGCTGCTCAGTCTAGGCATGTGTGTACAAAAATCCTGCCTTCAGTGCAGGCAGCTGCTGTCTGTGCTCTGCTGCAGCTGTGGATACTGTCAGAGCTGGCCTGGGGCTGGAGGAAGAATCTTGTTTCTGTACTCTTGCAGAGAGATGAGACTGGCTGCTGGTGCATTTATGAACAGAGTTGGAAGACTTACAAGAATCTCCATTCTTGTGGCTCCTCCTTGCTTTATGCAAAACACTATTTCCCCAGAGGGGAATAATGCCTTTTTGCAGCGATTGCTGCAGGTTGTGTTGGGGTGTGAGTGCCTGACCTTCCAGAAGTATGGTTGTGCCTTCACTTCTGACACAGAAATGCACAGAAATCTTCAGTGCTAACAGGTAATAGGAGCAGCAGGTGAACATTAACAGCAGCTACATCAGTCTGAAATATGTTTGCATACAGTAGTTTCTATGGAAGTTCAGGATGCCTGTTGTGTCCCAAACATCACTTGTTTATTATTAAAATAGAGACTGTCAATGGCCACAAATGTCATGTGGCCCATCCTGCTATAGCTAAAATCATAGAATATCCTGAGCTGAAAGGGACCCACAAGGATCACCAAAGTCCCACCCCTGGAACAAAAGAAACACAAAACCAAAACCTCACTCCAGGGTTATCACTGCCCTGTCACAATCTTAGAGTGTGCAAGCTGGCACTCTTTCAGCTGGTGTCTGCTAGTGCAGGGGTTGGCACAGAGGGGCATCATGTCACTGCTCAGGCACAGCCATGGTGGCATGGAGGGTAATCTGGTTCCTCACAAGGACATGGGCTGTGCTGGATCAGTTGGCCTTTGTGCTTCCCTTTTGTAGATACAGCTGATTTGAGCAAAAGCCTCTGTGCAGCCAAAAGTGCCTAATCACAAGCTGTCTGTGGCCAGATCTGCCCAAATTCAGCAGGACATCCCCAACTAGGTGCCACCCAGGATGCGTCTGCTCCCCACCTGCCCCTCCTTACTGCAGGAGAGATTAGGCAGATTTAGATATGTGCATCAAAGAGCTGCAGAGATCATATATCAAATTCAATCTTAACAGAGACTTCACTGCTTCTAAGCAGTGGAGGAGTTTGGGGAATTGAAAGCAGTGTGGCAGGAAACTTCTACTCATAGGACAGTTGTTTTGTTTTGTTTTGATTGGCACCATCTATAATCCAATATTGCTGTCAGCATCTGGTGTGATGATGCCTGTGCTGGTGCTTTCTTTTCTCAACTGAACTCTGAGAAATGCCTTTAATCACAGATATGTTGTGTTCTCAGGTGTTTAGGTCACAGCCTTCTGTCTGAGAGAATAAGGCTCCAACAGGGGCCAGAACACTACTAGAAATGAGAAGGAAATGAGAAGGATTGCACACAATGGTGGGTGCCATCCAATGTCTTATAGAACCATCCCATTTTACAGTCACTATGTTTTCAGGGAGGGATGCCCAGGGTAAGGCATGTCTTATATATTTTGTGTCTTTTCTGCATAACAGGCCCCTGAGCTATGTTTTCACAGAGCTACAGAAATAAGAAACTACACTTACATCTTGGCAGAGGTTTGAAGGGCTGTGGGCACAAATGTCTTGGAAACTGCACGAGAGGGTCAGTGGCCTCCAAAGGGAGCCTAATATGGAGTAAGTGCTCCAAAGGGAGCC